TATCGCAGGAGAAATTTGATAAGCTGGCCTGCTTCATGGCCAAACGGGGGAGTCAGATTCAAATAAGCCACAGTTGTTGATTATTTTTTCAGGCAGACTGTTGTTTCTCGTCAGCCTTGAGTTCTGCTGGTACTTTTGACCCAAAATGGCCACATTTGTGGGCATTCCACTGGTCCATGGTCATTAGCTCTCTCTAAGGTCAACTCCAACATTCTGGCGAGTCCCAGAAGCTGCAAGTGACCTGCGGTTCTCACAAATCGCGTCCATCTTATGGTTTAGCTCGTAAATCAGCTGATTTTGAGTGCTCGAAGCACGAACCAAACACGCAGACATGGTCGGCAGCTTTGCCATGGTCGGCAGCTTTGCCATGGCTGAAACTGCTGCTGCTGTCTTCTTTAATAGCCGATAACATAGGTATCCGCCGGTGCCAAAAAGCAGAAACCCTGCTATCATGATTCCGATATCTTCGGTGTCCTCCTGAGACAAAACGGAAAGGCACATCAAATCCATGACATGTCCTGCCGCATACGTCAGCGGGGCATGAGGGTTCTCCAGGACCCTGAAACTTTGTTGAAAATTTTTTAATCGATTTCATTGAAAGTCTACCTGACCAGATCCATGAGAGTAGTTTTCATTTTGAAATATGTGTAAATAGGAACTCCGATACACAAGACGGAGAGCAAAAAGCAGAAGGACAGGAGAGGGAAGAAAGGCATCGTCTTGCGCGAGAGCAAGTGGTGAAAAATCGGATCAGATGTTGAATTATGGGTGAAAGAAAGTATCAACTTCTCTGTAGTAGAGCTGGGATTTAAAGCAAAAACACTGTCAGTAATTATGTTATTTGATCTCACCACCACCCAGTTTCGTCTTAGATGTAGTGATTTGTTAACTAAGGCCTGCAATGAGTCTTCCAAATTGTGGGCACGGACCAGTATGAGTTTCTGATTTAAAATATAATGTCCAGGGATCATGGTATAAAAACGATGATGAACATACAAACTCTCGCAGGTTGCTGCAGAGCGATGGTTGTCGCTTCTCTTGTGGCCAAGGCATGATGATGGCAACAAGAACGATAAAACCACTCACTGCCCCTGGCATGCCATTAAAAGAAGTTTAAACTGCAAGAATGGTACAGCTGGGAATTTTAGTGGTTTAGAAACTGCAGTTTTAAAAAACCATGATATAACTTGAAAGCTAACCACTCCCTCCGCATGCATAAAATCTATAAGGTTTTAAAACGTTATTTTTTATATCCCACCGGTACTTCCTCATTTTGTTCCAGCAGTTTAAACAACGTTTAATGGCTCGTCAGAGGCAGTGTTAGGATTTCTCAGTCTGTATGTCCTGAAGAATAAAGCTTTCACTCAGAACCTGTCACTGGCCCACACCTGAGCCTTTTTAATCTCACTATGATGCCCTCACTGATTCAATGCTGATTTATTTACATCCTCCTCAGTTTAGCAGGGTTTGATTACAGCGTGATGTCTGTGATTAAAAAGATATAAAGTCAAGCTTTGTGTTTTGAAAGTATGGGTGTAATAAAAAGTTTGGATTCCACGAAGATCGACATTGTGAGCTTGGTCTGAATGCACAACAAATCTATTTGAGCACAGTTCTCCACATTTCTTGGAGCTTTAAATGACTTTTTTACTTTTTAATTTTTCAAAATGCTCACTGCTTTTTTTGAGCTCTTATTTGTTCTGTTTGAATTTTAGTGCTTGTGTGTGAAAATGTTGCATTGTCGGACTTGGAAAAAACACTTTTTTTTTGTACTAGCTAGAAGATTTGTGTACCATAAAGCACTAAAAGTGCATTGTAACTTTGATATTCATCTGCTATTGCCTTCACCTTGTTAACACTATCGTCAGTAATGGATAATGGCCACCACTTTTCTCTCCTGCTAATGAACACCAGTATCAGTCTTTAGGTGTTCAGGATTGATGACACGGCCTAATCATCCCATCTAATTAATACCCCACCACGCAGCACATATATTTCTCTGATTGGGTCACGGGGTAATCCCTGGGATATTGCACTCTGGCCACACAGCCTAATGAGTATTTCACCTCACTGAGTGATAAGAAGTCATGCATGTGCTAATGGCAGAGGAAGAGACTCTTCATCTCATACCTAATGACACTCTCAAGTTAGATACAAAATCAATTAAGATGGGCATGTTGGAATGGAAGAGTGCTCGAGGGACTGTGCTGCGATCAAAAACGAGTTTGTAAAGGATTATGTGTTTGACTGGAGGTGAATAAATGATGAACACACAATCTGGGATCAGAAGAAATAAATTTGATCAGAGTTCATCAAACAGACTGGGAGATCTATAAACCTTTTTAACACCATAAATAATGCGACGTTCCAACAGTTTAGAAGCTTGGTTGAGCAGAGAAAATGTATTTGCTCAACATGAATTTGGTCATTTTTACCATAAAGTTTTATTTCAAGAGATTTAATTAAAATAAATGATAAAGGGTCCTCATTTATATGACACTTTTTGGTATTAGCTGTTGGTCTAGCCAGATTCAACTCCAGAGGGTGGTGCAAACAGCAGAGGATATCACTGGTAGCAGTCTCCACACCATCCAGGACATCTACCACAGCTGATGTCTGTGTGAAGCACGCAGCATCATTAAGGACCACACCCACCCAGCACAAGGACTCTTCCATCTAGTTCCCTCAGGCAGACGATACAGAAGTCTGTCATCACGTACAAAAGTCTAAAGGCAGTTATTATCCACAAGCTGTCAGATTACTGAACTCTTGACAATAACATTGCATCAAGCCACATCTGTGACACCTAATCTGTTTATTGCTGCCACACTATATGGCTGTATCACGTATGTCACTACCTTATCATAATACAATAAGATAAAATAGAACTTTAATGATGAAGTATATTTTATTAGAATGATATACTAGCTTACTGAAATGTGTGGGTATATGTATTTCTTTTATTTTTATATACTGTAGTAAGATGTGTTAAAACACGATCTCATTCCCACTTCCCGTTCTTGTAGGGAATGTAGTTTTTAGTTCCACGCCTACAAATCCCAACAGCCACGCATCCACCATTTCAGAACGCAACATGGTGAGATCTTATTGGCTAAGAGCTGGTCACTATTTAGTGTAGTAACTTTCATTTTGCTGTGATGGGATATCTGAGGATGTGTGGCCATGCTCTGAAGATGTTCGTTCCGACTCGACACTTGGCGCCATTACTGGTGACAGCATGGAGAGGCGGTAATGGCCCAGGTCTGGTGATTTTGTACCTAACGTGGGTAAAATGAACCTTCTGAAATGGATGATCATTTGTCTGAAGCAGGCTCGAGAGAGCCGAACATGTCTAACAATAATTAAATTAATCTAAGTATTACTCACTACACTGTGCAATAACCTGTCGCACAACATGTGTATTTTATGTTAGTTATGTGCATTATATATCATGTACATTTACCAGTAAGCTTATATTACTACCTTGAAATACTTATTTATACAAACTCATCCTACTTGCACGGTTATGTTCTACCATGCTGTTTACTATAATTCTTTTGGACCTTGTAAATATTCTATTTTTCAGTTTTGGTACTTTATTTTATACTATTATTGCATGCTTTAGTATTTCTTGTTTTGTTTGAGCGAGTCGAATCGGTTCTTCTCCTCATGAACATTTCATTGCATTGTTTGTCATATGCCAGCAAATGACAAATAATAAATTAACCTGCATACGACAAAGAATAAATTAACCTGCATACGACAAA